GGTTCATTGGGGGAACTTTCTTTATGTCTGAATTTCAGTCACAGTAAAACATGTGAAGAGAGATATCGAAAAGAAAGGCATTTCAGGGCAATAAACTAAAAAGGTTTAAAAGCTTTTATCAAGGTCAAGAGACAAGGAAATTTCATGGCACATCCTTCAATGTGGACCAGTCAAATGGGCTTCACTGGCTGTTAGGCAACTTGATATGGAGTGATGTATTAAAAGGATACAATGAATAGGAGATTTTCATTTTGAAATGTTAATTACTTTATAGAGGTCTCTTATCTTTCTCTCTCTGAACATTACAATTTATCTTTAAATGAAAAAAAAATTCAATGTTCCCAGGAGATGAAATCAGCGTGGATGACCACTAACTCTATAGGTCTTTCGGATTGTAAAACAGCATTCCCATTCGATTTGTAATTGAATGGGAGGAAGCCTATTGTATTTTAAGGCATTGTTAACCCCAGAAATGAGAGGACATGCTCAAGCACACTCTGACACATGTCACTGTTGGCTGTTAACAGGCAAAGGAAACCATACAGGTTGCTTACAAGTTTGCCAGTCATTAGTCTGTGCCCATGGCTGTTCTGATACTAAGTACCTAAAATCAATATAAAGAGATTAACAAAAGTAGTTGAGACACAGTGAGTAACCAATAAGTAATAACTATCATTATTGTAAGAAGACCTGGCTGTATAGTGGTGTGTATGCTGGGATGCTCAACACAAGGTCACTGGTTCAAACCCACCAGCCACTCCGAGGGAGAAAAGTAAGACTGCATTCTCCATAAAGATTCGGTTTCAGAAACCCTACAGAGCAGCATCAATCTTGCCCTACCTGGTAGCTATGGGTCAGAATCAAATCAATGGCAGGGTGTTTGGGTTGACCACTGTTGTGCCTGCTTCTAGGATGCACACGATCTTCTTTGCTCCTGTTGCTATAGCTACCGGTGAGTTGGCACTTGACTCACAGCAACCCCATGCACAACACTGCCTGGAGTTGGCGACTGAACCATGGCTGATCCAATGGCTGATTTTTAGAAATATATCACTAAGCTTTTTTCCTCAGTCTATTTCAGTCTGGAAGCTTTGCTGAACCTGTTCAGCACTGGAGCACCACACGTCTGCATTGAGAAATGGAGTACCACCTTATACAGGTTTCTTGAAACCTCATTTCACTGCTTCAAGTGTGAGAACACAACTCTTAAAAAACAAACCACAAATGGTCTACTACCTCATGTCTCCATTTCTGTTCTATTTTCCTCATAAAACTTTACTTAGTAAGCAACTGGTTCAGTATGAGTTTTGCTTTATTTAAATGATACGTGCCTTCCAAAGCTACATACATACATACATATAATATTCCAAAGCATATAACACATGTATAAACATATTACAAACATTGTAAACACACATACACAACCATATATATAATTTAATTCACTGTAAGATTAACAGAATACGCACATATACACAGTTCATATAAGCCCTGGTGGAATAGTGGGCTACATATTGGCAAACAACAAGGTCAGCAGTTCACAACCACCAGGCCCTCCCAGGGAGAAAGACGGGGCTTTTCACTCCTGTAGAGAGTGAGTCTCAGAAACCCATGGGGCCAGCTCTACTCTGTCCATAGAGCTGCTCGGGGTGGGAACCCACTCCATGTCAGCGAGCTTCACTTTTTTGACATCCACCATTTAATAAGCACTTTGTGTTCTATTGTTTTCAATATTAGAAAAGGATAACGCAACAAAATACAAATTTTCTATTAAAAAATTGAGTCTTTATATCTTCTACAATGTTAATCTTCAATTGGGACCTGACTTTAAATTTTCAAATGATAAACGATCCTCTCCTGTCTTTCTGGATTGTTTAACTTCAAATTGACCCACTGCTCTAGAATGGCCAAAAAAAACAAAAAAAGGGATTAATTTCCTCTTATATTATTTAGAGTGATAAAAGACAAAATAATTTTTTTATTTAGCTCTTAAGTACTAAAATCAATGAGTATTACAACTTTTTATCTATACTAGTTTGTAAATTATCTCAAGAGTATGGATTTAAATCAAACTCCAGTTTCAGTATATCTTTGTAGTTCCAAATTTACCAGAATAAATCTTTCTAAATATTATCTTTGTTGGGTGCTAAGACAGTTCCTCTGGATGACTGTAACCTCAAAATTCCATTACTCCCATGGTAGTCAGAGGGATAAGGAAAGGGGGAGGGAGAGAAAAGAAGAAATTACACACTGCTATCTATGGATTCCTTAAAACAAACAGTGCTTGCCCACTGTGAAACTTACATCTTAAAAAGATAACACAGGAAGGAGAAAGAAAAGAATAAGCTGAAAAAGCAAGAACATACCATTAGAAAGATTTGAACTAGTTAGTCCTGGGTTGCTGGGTCACAATTAAAGCTAACCGCAAGGTTGGTGTGCTGGAGCCCATTCAGAGGAGCGCAACAGAAAGCCTGGCAATCTACTTAATAGATAGATGATAGATAGATGGATAGATAGATAGATAGATAGATAGATAGGTAGATAGATAGGTAGATAGATAGATAGATAGCAGCTATAGAAAATCCTATGGGACACAGTAAAGCATTATAATGAAACGTGCAAAGACTTAGTACCAGAAAACCAAATAGAAAATCATACTTGGGATTTCTCAACAAGAAAAAATTGAAGAAAATATTCAAGCCTTGAGTTGTAATATTGAAGGATTTCATGCGAAAATATTGAATGACGTAGGAAGCATCATCAAAAGAAGATGGAAGAAATACACAGTCATTGTACCAAAAAGAGTGTGTCTACATTCAACTATCTCAGGAGGGAACGTATGATTAAGAAGTGATGGTAGTTAAGGAAGAAGTACAAGCTGCACGGTAGACACTGGTGAAAAACTAGACCCCAGAGATCCCCAGAATGCCAACTCTGATGCTTTAACACACCATTGTCGTGCCGGAGGTGCTTGCTCACCATGCCATGAAGTTTGGAAGACAGCTAGCTACCTGTGCCCATCAACTGGAAAGGATCCCGATTTGTGCCCATCTCAAAGAAAGCCGATGCAACAGGATTGAAAACTTATCATACAATATCATTAATATCACACCCAAGTAAAATGTCTTTAATACAATTAAAACTGGATAGCAGAAGTACAAAGTCAGGGAACTGCAATAAATTCAAGCTGGATCAGAAGAAGAAGTAAGATGCAGGATATTGTTGTTGATGCCAGTTGGATCTTGGCTGAAACCACAGAATACCAGAAAGATGTTTCCTTGTGTTTAATGACTATGTAGAGGTATTTGATTGTGTGAATCATAACAAACTATGGATAACATCGTGAAGAATAGGAATTTGAGAACACTTCATGGTGCTCATATGGAACCTGTACTTAGACAAAAAGTGGAACCTGTACTTAGACAAAAAGGAGTATAGTTCAAGAAAATAAGTAGTTTAAAATCACTTAAGCTATAAATCAGGGTTGTATACATTCACCATGTTTATTCAGTCTGTATGCTGAATAAATAATCCAAGAAACTAGATTATAGGAAGACTGTAACATCAGCCTCCTGTGTGAATTATAAAAATAAAACAAAAATCTTCACAGATAAGCAATAAGCAACATCATAATAAACAGAGAAAATATTGAAGCTGACAAGGATTTCATTTACTTGGATCCACAATCAATGTTCATGGAAGCAACAGTCAAGAAACCCAATGACATATTATATTGGGCAAACCCAATATATCCAGTCTATCCACTGCATAGACTTCTTTAAAGTGTTAAAGATCAAGGATGCCACTTTGAAGACCGAGGTGTGTGCCTGGTCCAGTTCATGGTATTTTCAACCACCTCATACAGATGATAACATAAGGATGATTGGCGAAGAACTGGTGCCTCTGACTTACAGTGCTGGAGAAGAATACTGAATACACCAGGGAGTAGCAGAAAATAACATCTGTCTTGAAAAGGCATACAGTCAAATGCTCCCTAGAAGTGAAGTGAGGACGGCGACACTTCGTCTCATGTACTTTGGACATGTTATATTAAGCTGGACTAGGTCTAGAGAAAGATATTATGCTTAGTATGGGGGGGGGGGTCAGTGAAATAAAGGAAGATGCTCACCTAGATGGATTAGCATAGTGCTTGCCACAAAGGGCTCAAACACGGAAACGATTATGAGACTGTCACAGTACCACAAAGAGTTCTGGGTCGCTGTGAGTTAGTACTGACTTGATGGCATCCAATAGCAATAGCAATAGCAAAAAGGCTATGCACATGTAATGACTCCTAAGGTATGTTTTCATTAGTTCCTAAAACACCTTTGTTTATATACAAGGAAATTGAATGATGGGTGAAATCAATGCATGATTGGAAGTTTGCCCTGCCTGGTGAAATTATGACAAATGCATACATTTTAGGACAAACTCAATCAGTGGATGATATGGGACAGGAGAGTCAAGCGTGGAATGGAGTGGTGATTCTGTTTGCTTTGGAACAGTTTCTCGTTTTCTTTTGCTCCATCTGAGGGAGTCAAATGGACCATCTCTGTAAAATGAGAAGTCCAGAATATGGCAGGAATAGACATATTTCTTTGTACCGAATTTCCCTTGCCTGTATAATATGGACAGAGTTGAAGGTTGATTGAAAGGACACAACGCAGTAAAGCTCCCAGTGGTCCTTCTGAGCCCATTCCACTGCCATCATCCATCACTGCATTGTGGAGGATCGCTCTCCTTCTTACAATGTGGCCTTTTAAGCTATGCACGAGTTCACAAAGAGCCAGGCGTAGTCTCTCTCACATACTGTGTTAGGAACATGCCAGATTTTGAGGTTCACATAAAAGAAAACGACACTTTACTGTGGGTGAGTGGGGAAAAGAATTGAAAGTGAGGAAGACAAAGGTCTTTAAATAAAGTATTTAAAAGGTAGGGGAAAGAGGAATCAAGTTTTTGATCTTTGATGCCTGTCTTTTAAAACGCTTCTTCTTTTCCAGCTTGAGAATTATATCCAGGACAACATGAAGAAGGAAATGGTAGAGATGCAACAGAATGCAGTCCAGAACCAGACAGCTGTGATGATAGAAATCGGAACAAACCTGCTAAATCAAACAGCGGAACAGACACGGAAATTGACAGATGTGGAAGCACAAGTAAGAAATATGAAACGCATAATGGGTTAGCCAGTTAAAGACTACCAGGAAAGTGTGCTATATAATTGCTTAATGAAAGAAAATACTGTTTCTGAATTAAAATCTATCCGTTGCTATCAGAGTCCATTCTGACTACAACTGTGCTCCACAGCACTTGGAATGACGGGTGGTTTGGAAGTAGATCACCAGGCCTTTTCTCCAAGTCTTCGCTGGGTAGTCCCAAGCTGCCATCATTTCGGTTAGCAGCTTCGGATGTTCCCCATTTGTATCGCCCAGGAATTCCACTTAAAATACATTTCCCATAAAATAAGCCAATATAAACGTCCCTCATCCACACTTATTTTTTCAGCAGATTCTCAAGAGATTGAGTTATATTGTCTACTTTGAAAATCTGTTGGGCAGTTACTGACTGGGTGAAATAAGTTTAAATTCGAGTATGAACTATTTTACTTAGAAGCAAGATTCATCTGTCAGAATGAGAGAAGAAAGAACTAGATAATCACCGGACTTGGATAATTTAGACACCTGCAGATGGATGCCCTGAAGCCTTGTCCAACTGTATGATTCTCTTCAGAAAAGTGATAGTAAAATATTGCGATTACTCCAGGGGCCAATAGCTGAATCGGTATTCCATCCTCTACATACACCTCCCCCCACCAACCCTTATGTTACAGACCTTATGAGCAAAATCAGCAGACCGGATTATCCACTTCCTTTCAGAAATGGCCAGCACAAAAAGCCTGGGTCTAATTAATATATAGGTCAAATCTATATACCAGTTGGTAATAATACTACTAAAGCCATTATGTTGGATAATATATTCATTCACAAAACAATATTCATGACATGATCTCAAGTGGTTTTTGGCTAAGGGCCAAACCATCCCTAGTACTTAACATTGTCTCTGTGACCAGGCTTGGCACTCACTAATGACATAAAGACAGCAAGAAAACAATGATTCTTTCAAGGACACGTATTCTTTGGCAACAATTCTAACTTACACTTAAATGTGATATCACATCCTGAATAACCATTACCATGGAGGATGTGAGTAAGCAATTCTTCCTGCTCAAAGGTAGCCCAACTCTAAAGAAGTAGCCTGAAAAGTTGTTTGAATTCACTGGCTAAGAGTGAGCCTGAAAACGTTATGGGATATACAAAGAATAACTTTCCTTCAACTTTATATTGACATTTCATTGTTTCCTAGTTGATATGATTTTTCAACTAGGAAAAACCAAACTAGAAAAAATAAATAAGGCTAAATAAAGCAAAATTAAGAAATACACATTAAGGTAGAACAAGTAAGACTTGCATTTTTATTGCAACAAAAGAATGTGAGTTCTAATCACTTTTCTTAAATTTAATGAAAATCAAATGTGAAAATAGCATTTTAGTTCAAGCAATGGGAAATTCATTTGTGAGCAGTTTTTGCTATAGTAAGTATGATTATTGTGTCTTCTCATTCGTTTCACAATGTGAAAAGAAATGATAAAAGAATAAGAACAATAACATGTTATTTGGTACAAATAATAGTTTCTAGATTATTAAACATGTCCCAAAGTAAAGATATGATAAAAATATGAATAAAGTGATGGAACCCAGGACACTAAGCCTTTTTGGAAAGGTAAAATATGGCAAAATAAGATAGTTGGAGAAAATATTTTTTAGTTGTGTTTCCTAATAATTCAGTTAATTTAACTAAGAGTAAGTAACATCTAATTAAAATGATGAAGAATTTTGTTTTGCTACTCTTAGGTATTAAATCAGACAACAAGACTTGAACTTCAGCTTCTTGAACATTCTCTTTCTACAAGTAAATTGGAAAGGCAGATTTTGGATCAGACCAGTGAAATAAACAAGTTGCAAGATAAGAACAGGTAATCAAAGTACAAGGATAAAATGCACAAAACTGTACACTTTTCCGATATGAAAATGTGCCTTGTGTAACTATTATTTATTAGCTTCCAAAAGTGCTGACTTCCTCAAAGTATAGTTTAAAAATTGGAAGTGTGTGAGAGAAAGGTAGGGAAGAAGTATTAAAAACAACAACAGGGAAATAGCATTGACTTTCTAACAGGAGAATAAGCCAGGAAGTATTGCTACTAGGTTCATACAGGCACAGATTTATCACAAACATGTTTCAACATGTCTTTGTGGCAGTGAAGAGCTGCAGACAAGTGCTCTCGATAATTCACTTGCCTTAGTCTTATTCTCCCTGCCACTTAATTAAGACAGTAGCTTCCTAAGGGTTGTGCACTGGGTTGTTTACCTTGAGGCCAGCAGTTCAAAACCACTACCATTCTGCAGAAGAAAGAGGAGGATTTCTACTGTGTACAGATTTACATTCTGGATAACCCACAGGAGGCAGTTTTACTCTGTCTTATAGGGTTGCCAGGAGTCACTACCAAGTAGATGACAGTGAGTGAGTGAGTTTGGGGTGAAATTAAATGTACAAATCAGAATATTTTCTCTATAAAGACTCCTTGTCAACACTAAAATTTATGTAATGCACCAGGAGTGCTCTGCAACTATAATTGCAAAACTATTCAATCTTACTGGAAGCATAAAAATAGTTTCCGAGTGACCTGTCATGGTACAGATAATAAAATGTACAGCTTGATTCAGGTGATTTATATTTTAAAAAGTAACAAATTTATACTTATAAGATTTCTAATTTATTAGCTGCAGAAATAGCATTTTCTTTTGTTTTAAAATGAAATAAAATGTGCTAATAAAGATTTTAGATCAACATCAGTAAATATTTAAAAAAGATAAGAAAGCTGGCATAATAATTTTGCATGTTTTAATGACTTCTGCATCATGCGCTTTTAGTTTTAGTCATTTTTATCCTTGATGGATGTTACCTAAAAAAATCAAATTTTGTATGTTAAGACATACATAGTTTTATGATTATAATTTATTGCTGTGAGGTTATCAAAACATCTATACTTTTACCATCTTGGCGTCATCTCTGATTATTTCCTAAACTCATAAAAAGTTTTACATGGTAGGTGTCTAATAGAGCTATTAAAAGAATCAATAACTGAATAAAAGAAAATAAGACATGATTCTAGCCTACTGCTGCCTGGTGTCTTTCCACCATTCTGTGAAATGTGGACGCTGACTGAAATAATTCAGTGGGATTAAATGCTTTCTTCAAGTTTTTCTAATCAAACAAATGGGGACAATACATTTTCTCTGCACCTGAGATGTACTCAGAAAGCTCTAATGTTTTAGGAGCTGGATTCCACTAGCTCCTTAACTAAGATTAACAGAGGTTGTGGCATATGACTATTTGTTTTCTTGTTTGTTTTTTGTTGTTGGGAACCCTTAAATCCATCCTGGCTCACAGCATCAGGGCAGAACTGTCTCGTACGGCCGCGATATTTATAGCAGATCATCGTGCTGTTCTCCTTTGTGAGGGGCCTCAAAATAATTCTGAAACATAAAGATATCATCACTGATACAGTTCATTACTGGAGATAGAACAATTTATAAATGACTAAAAAAAGGGACTAGCATGTGCCCTCCCTTTAAAACTAAACTTAACATGGGGCAAATTCATTTCTACTAAATTCTGTCATTGGGCTTGACGTCTTGCTCCCTGTTTTGCTACACCTACATTGCTCCTACATTGTGTGGTCTGTTACCTGGTGTTACGCAAACTGAAAAGAGACACTCCAGTGATGGTGGCCACTGCTTTTACTGTAATTCTCAGAGAAATTCCCATATGCATTGAGTGATGCAGTGACTACACAGAGAAAGCAAGAGTTACTTTCATGTGCTACATTTAGAAAAATGAGACATAAAGCAAAAATGGAAAAAGTCTTTCAGGAGCCTCACTGGCATAGTGGTTATACACTGGGCTGCTAGCTACATGGTCAGAAGTTCAAAACTACCAGCCACTCCATGGGAGAAAGACGAGACTTTCTACTCCTGTAAAGAGTTATAGTCTGGAGCCCACAGGGGCAGTGCCACCCTATCGTACAGGGCTGCTATGAGTTGGAATCCCCTCGGTGGCAGTGAGCTTGGCTTTTAAAGTCCATATACTGTGTATATCATTGACTGTGCTCCAGGGAGCAGTTAATATCCGTGTTTGACATATGTATGTAGATTTGAAAAAACTTTCTCTAGCTGAGCACATAGTAACCAACTAGAAGTAGCATACTTTTAACTGTGTATATTTATACTAAAATACCTTTTATGAAATTGAAATTAGAAGGATGAATAGAACACCCTTACTAAATCTTTTAGAAATTACACAGTATAAATTTATCAGCTATTCATAATAACTTTAAAACTGATTCAAACAGTATTCATCAAGGTGATGGGAAGTTACAAAATTTATAATTAGACATGAAGTGCTTTTTTCTCTAGATCACTGATTTAAATGTTCCTGATGCACTAATAAAGTTCATTAACTTCTTAAAAAAAACTGATTCAGGCTCTATATATAACCTCCTCCCTGGGGGATGGGCAACAGAAAAGTGGGTGAAGGGAGACACTGGGCAGTGTAAGATAAAATAAAATAATAATTTATAAATTATCAAGGGTTCATGAGGGAGGAGGGAGCGGGGAGGGAGAGGGAGGGGAAAAAGGAAAACGAGGAGCTGATTCCAGGGACCCAAGCAGAAAGAGTTTTGAGAATGATGAGGGCAATGAATGTATACGTGTGCTTTACACAAATGATGTATGTGTGGATTGTAATAAGAATTGTATGAGCCCCAATAAAATGATTTTTTTTTAAATGGGCTAGCCCACATGTGATGTATCAAATAGGTTAGCTATATGATTATTCAGGTTAAATTCTAAAGAGAAGAAAGGAGTCTAATTTAAAAAAGAAAGAGAGAATTAGGTTTTCGCGTCAGAAAGACCTGGGATGACTTCTGCCTCCACCTTGATGAGTGACTGTGGCATGCAATGTGTCATCTCTAGCTTTCAATTAGAAGCCCTGGTGGCACAGCAGTTAAAGTGCTCAGCTGCTAACTGAAAGGCTTGTAATATGAACCAATGAGCTGTGCTACAGGAAGATGCCACGGTTTACTTCTAGAAAGAGGACGGACAGCCTTGGAACACTGTGGGGCAGCTGTACTCTGATAGGGTACCAAAGCAGAATGGCAATGGGTTTAGGTTTCCTCATTGGAATCAGAGATAATAACACTGATATCAATTATAACTACGCTTTATTAAATTCTACTTCGTTATCAGGAGTTAGTCTAAATATATACACTTATTAATCGATTAATTCTTCTGGCAATTCCAGGAGACAGATATTATTATCATCCCTCTTTTACAGATGAGAAAATTGTTGCATGGAATGAATGATTCAGAAAACCACGTATAGCCAGAGGGCATTTCCCCCAGATCTGAAACCAGGCAGTGTATTTCCCTCCCTGGAAGTACAAGGGAGCTTCAACATAAGTTGTGAAGCAATTCCATTTTCTTGTCATTCTATTTTCCACAATTTTTTGAAGCCCCCTCATATTCATCACACAGCATTAAAATATTAGCTGTTATTAGGATTAATACTAAAATGTATATTCATAATCGAAGAGAAAGTGAAAGTTATACCAGATGGTTCAGTCTAACTCAAATATGCCATCCTCAAAACCTGCACTAAATGAGCAGCTTGAAACAGTATCACTCCTTTGTGCAGAAGTCTTAGAGGACCTAATGTCCACATCACTCGTGTGTTACCTCTCATAGCTTAGATTGAGATAGATTTTTGTATTGCATATATGCATGCATGCATAAACACACACACACACACACACACACACACACACACACACACACACCCCACTCCCCTCATGGCATCAATTCTGGCCGATAAGAGATATTATAGGACCACGTAGAACTACCCCTCTCGGTTTCTGGTACTGTAAATCTCCATGGGAGCAGACAGCCTGCATTTCTCCGGAGGTGCTTCTGGTGGTTTGAATTGCTGATCTTGTGGTTAGCAGACTAACACGTAATCCTGTAATCCACTGCACCACTAGAGATCCTTTCTCTCTCTCTCTCTCTCTCTCTCTCACACACACACACACACACACACACACACACACACACACACACACACACTTTTAGAGTAAGTGTGATTTTCTTTACAGTTGTGACAGCATGGTGTTAATATATAAAATAGTAACACATAAGTAGAAGCTCATTATAAAATATTTCATTAGAATTGTGAGAATAGATAAATTTCTATACAGCCCTTGGCTTAGAGAGCAATCAGAATAGCCTTCACTAATCATTACTTTCATTTCCAAGTTTCCTCGAGAAGAAAGTCCTAGATATGGAAGACAAGCATGTAGTCCAACTACAAACAATAAAAGAGGAGAAAGATCAACTGCAGGTGTTAGTATCCAAGCAAAATTCCGTTATTGAAGAGCTGGAAAAACAATTGGTGACTGCCACTGTGAATAATTCAGCCCTTCAAAAGCAACAGCATGATCTAATGGAAACAGTTCATAATTTATTGTCTCTGATGTCAACAAATTGTAAGTAAAGTGCCCACTCCTCACTCCTCACCACACACCCAGTTTTAATAGTCTGTGAACTCTTAAGTCCTGAAAAAATTCATTATATTTCAATAAAAGCACTGTTTTCTGTATATAAATGAATGAGTTCTATTCCTTAGTCCATCTTTTTAAAGTTGAATTTGTATTTAAGTTGGAATAGTTAAATACAGTTTGCATCTTATATCGGGTATTATGCCATAATAAATTATCCAATTCTATTTAAGATGGAAGATTTAGAAAAATAGTTCATTATAGCTAATGAACTTGCATATATTTAATTGATAGTTAAAAAAAAGAAAGCCTAGATTACTGATACCCTTGATAATTAACAAGAAAACACGTTGAAAGAGTAAATTTGGGGGTAAGAACAGGAAACTTGTATATTTGTTTGCTTATTATAAGGAGTCAAATGTAATAAAAAGGGTCATGTTTATAAATGGCTGAGTCAAGAAATAAAAGATTTCTCTCTGTTCATGAACACTATTTAAATGCTTTACTATTTTTTTGCAAGCAGCTAAGACCTCTGCTGTGAAAGAAGAGCAAATCATTTTCAGAGACTGTGCTGACGCATTCAAATCTGGACTTAAGAAGAGTGGCATCTACACATTAACATTTCCCAATTCGACACAAGAGAAAAAGGTAGGGCACTTCTCTCACTTTTCACTCCCCTGACTTGAAGTAGATCATTCATTACAGGATCAGAGTATACTTCACACTCCAGTTTCTACCACAACCTCACTCAATGAAGACACACAGTTCATGACTGCCCACCGTACAGAAAATATTTGCCAAGGGTTGTAAGTTCTATCTTTCTACATAGAATATTGGCTTTGTCTATCAATGATATAGACATATCTATATTATCTTCCACAGGGAATTCATTCTCCTCGAATTTTGTTCATTTTCCTTGAAGTGCCAGACTCGTTACTTCAAGAAAATATCTTCTAAATATTTCTGTTGTGTAACAATGATATTCTATGTGTTGTGTGTGAGTGCGGGGGTTGGGGGGCGGGCAGGGATAAAAGACTGGTTCATTTTGCAACTAATACAAGTATAATGTTCCTTAAAAACACCATTGTAGCGTGGTGTGCAGAAATGATCCCTGCATATTTCCTATTTTATTACACAGAATATTAAAAAGTACTCAACTATAGCTGTTAATCAAAAGTAATACTTTTTCTTGGTTTATCAAAGGCATCCTTAATGGAAATTAGCGTTTTAAAGCTTTAAATAGTGAGTTTGTGACTGTGAAGAAAACAAGGACTACTAGTGCAGTCCGTTATCACTGCCTTAATCTATGCTAGGGCACTAGCAATTGTAGCCATCTTTGGTTTTTTACTATCAGTGCAAATGCCAACACAAGTGCCACAGGCCCATGGTGCCTTAGTGTCATTATGAAAACAGCTGTGATCTTCTGGACACAATGAAAGGCTCTCAGGAACCCTTAGGTGTGTGTGGACCACACTAAGAGAACTGCCGGTGAAGGCTACTCTCTAGCTCATCAAATATCGTCTGAGAGACATAAAACACATCAAAGATACCAGAGGATATGTCAATATGTATGCTCAATTACTGCATGCAAAGTGAATAAACAACCAGAACTCATCAAGAGAAGCTATTACAAAGCTTAATTGAATGTATAGTTATCTTGCATTTCTCAGGAAATATCTCTCCTGAAGCTGCTCTCCTGAGATCTGAGACAAGGGGGATAAAAGTGACTGGTCACTCTTCCAGAGACTATTTCAATGTGGCTTCTCTTCAGAGATTGTGCGACACTGTGAAATTCAGATGACAATAAATGATTTATTTTTCACTATGTGAAACGCCGTCTGAAATGTTCAAATGTAGGCTGGCTGCATATGTTAAATGTCTATGAGTGCTCTTATGTCTTCATAAAGTAAAAACCTATAAAAAGGCATTGCTTACTATATCAAAAGAGAAACAACAGACTATTTGGAAGTATGTTTTTGGACTCAGTTACTTTCTGTATTTAACACAATATCAAAGAGAAATGTAAATATAAATCGGGGCTTAAATATTATGCTATTTAAGTTACCACTGTCCAAAGACAGCTCCAGTTCATTCATTTTTCTCAATCAACCTTGGGGAAAACCCACCACCATCACTCCCCAAAAAGCACTGCACTGCAGGGGAGAATGCAATCAGTTGACTCTACACTGAGGTCTCGCATCCTTTAGTGATGTTTTCATGAAGATTCTTTGCAAGTTACATTATTATCTCTCTCCAGAAGTTTGTGTCCTTGTGGTGCGATGATAATGGGGACAGAGGAAATAAGTGGAGGAGGATGGAGGATACAGTAAAACATGAAAGCTACCAAGACAAACCTGGAGGGAACATATAGTATCACACTGTGTAACAGATGTCTTTCCGAGAGCAATCCCATCGAGTATACTATACCAACACAATGACTTAAAAGAAATACCCTGCTCAAGGGCGAAAAGATTCATTGTACACTTCGATTATAAAACTCCAGATCATGGCTTTGACACATTAGGATTAATATTTCTTTTAAACATCTGCAGTGAAAACAACTTATTTACACAGCAGGGAAAACTTGAAAAGTTTTTCAAAGCCTCAATTTTCTCATCTATAAAACAAACGGTTTAGAGTAAGTCATCTCTAAATTCCCTTCCAGATTTTGAATGCTATAATTTAATAATCTGATAAAGAACGAGAGAAGTCAGATGTGCTTGGGTTTAAATTCCAACTCTGGCAATTTGCGATCCTGACCAAATCATCAGACCTGTCTGAGCCATAGACTTCCTACTCTGCAACATGACAATAAGGCTTCCCACCTTAAAAAGCTCTTTCTGGCTGTGATCATGAATATACAGCACCAAGTCGAACACTTGGTATGTAACATACATTCCATAAACAGTGATAATTATCATTCTGTGGTACAAGATAGACAACTAAATTGGCATTTATTACAAACATCAGAATATGCTTTTGCTAGTTAGAGACATAATGGCTGCTTTCCCTTAATTTAACAGAATATTTGAATCCTAATTTTACTCTATTTGCATGCTATCTACTCAGTCATTTAAGTATGGCTTCAGAGTTGAGGCATAACATTCAAATCAAGCATTACTTACTGGAAAACATCAAGCTTTATAATAAGATGTGAGGTCCTTGAACCATGTAACGGCATGCTCAACTAAAGTATTAATTGCCCTCAGGTATACTGGAATTGGGAAGCTTGATGCGTGGGACATTATCTGAGGCCTTCTGCTTTTCACATCCTGCTGTAATTTATTTCCTCATTTCATTTAGTGCCTTTTGGCTATGTGGACAGCTTATTTGAAAACTATCTTACCTTCAAAGTTTCATGACTGAGTAACCATAAAATTTAGGGTTTTTTGTTTGTTTCAATTTAGATTTTAAATAAATCCTTTACAAAATCTGGACAAAGTATTTAGAAACCATTCTAATAAACTTAGCATGCCAGTAATAAAGTCAGTGAGAATAGGGCTAGTTCAGATCACGTAAGCACTGGCAGTGAATAAAGCAGAACCATTTGGGTCTCCAATCTGACTTCCCTGACAAGATAAACTCACCAACCTAGCAAGGACAGCTACTGATTGAAAGACCAGTAACTTCACAATTGTGACTCTGGCAATGAAGAGTAGAACAGTCTTGGAAAAAGGATAGGCTGTTGCCATCAATTCAATTCAACTCATGGTGCCCTCATATGTATCACAGAAGAACTGCACTCCACAGGATTTTTGCTGTCTTTAATCCATGGGCTATATCCCTAAGCCGTTCTTAGGTGCTGCTGCTGGGTCGGTCTTAACTATCAACTTTTGGGTGAGGAGAAAAGTGCAAAGTGTTTGTTCCGCCTAGAGACCCTTGGGAGCAAGCTCTATAAAACTAAAGACATGTATTCTTTCAATTCACAGGGGTACCACTGTTGGCTACTCAAGAACTAACTTCTAGGTACAATCATGAATCCCACTCATACCAATGAAATTTACTAATATCATTTAGTAAACAGATTTTTTAAAGGTGTACTGATAGACACAAGCAGCACTGCCCATTTTGTGGACCACAGGCAATTAGAGGCCATGTTATTCACGAACTGATTTTCAACTTAGAGTTGTACTGAGGGACTTTCATCCTATTAACAGAAGTCTAAATTTCTTTATTTGGGGCAACATGATGGTGTAGAAGGAGAAAAAAAATCACATAGTTGAAATTAGAGATCAATTGTTCAAATCCTATATATGACTGTGTCTAATCAAATCAACCTAACTTTTACCAACCCTTTTCTTTTCTCAAAGATTCAGCATAGTGTCACAGCAGAGTTGCTATGAAATTAGTCTCAGAAACCCACAAGGGCCTTCCTTCCTACACAGCTGCTATGAGTCTGAATCATCTCATTTAGACTCAAATCTTGAGGGGTCTAACTAGTCAAAACAGAGTGGTTTGCATTTATATTCACACTGCCAAAAGTAATCCCACTATTCTCAAAAAGAATATGGAAAATTCTAAATCAAGACCACTTTAAAAGATAAACAAAGGAAACCTTTTTAATTAGGTTTGACCCGTAACTTTAATATTTGGTCCCTTGTATGCTGTAGGGAAGTCATCTCACTTTCTGGAGCACTTTCTTGTTCTACTATAATCTCATTATTTAGAACTATTTATGTAATCTTATTTTCTGGGGGGTTTAATTTCATAATAAAACTCCAGCTGAGTTGAAATTGAGCATGCATGCACTGAGCCCAAGAAAAAATTTTGTGTCCTGAACTAAGCTAAAACCCACTGAGCAAGTTGAAAAGCAGAAATAAAATGAGCTGGGAAGAGAAAAAGTGTGGGCAGTGAGCAAAGTATAAAGAAGCTTGAACTCACAGTCTGTGGGGTTGGTCACTGCCAGGGGAGGCTCAGGCCACAGGTACCACACTGGTATACAGAACCTGAAGTGCCCTGTACTTGGCAGTGCACTGAGAGACCTGATTTTCATTCCACACAGAGGAATCCTGAACAGCTCCATAGCATAAAGACATGATCAGAGGACTCCATAATGAGAGATCGCTCTCAGTAGAGCACGGCAGAGGCTAGCATTCCAGGTTGTGAGCAGGTTTCCCATTGGTTAGAGATAGGAGGTTAAGGGAAAATATATAAGAAGTCCCTGGGTGGTTTAAACACTTCCGAATTTTACTACCAGAAAGGATGGTGGTTCAAACCCACACAGAGGTGCTTCGGCAGACCTGCGTGGTACCAGCGTGGTACTCAGCTTCTGAGAGGTCACCATCTTAAAGAGTATAGGAGCAGTCCTACTCTGCATACCTGGTGCTGCCACAAATCAGAGTCGCCTTGATGGCACCCAGGAGCAACATCATGGCCTATTTTCAATAAATACTTAGACAAGGCATTCTTTGGAGTCAGCTATTGGGTGGTTCTTAGCTCGGAGGAGGGGCTATGGAGAAGTGTATTAGCAAGTATTACTTTCATCAGCATACAATATTTGTTATGTTATTGCTAATTTATTATCATTTTAAATGCAAAGTTTTCAATTTATTGCAAAACCTCCTGTTACTTAGAAGACTACAAAGATTTCCCCTCATTCCTTGTTCCAGAAAACTCTATGAGCACAAGTCTTCTTCTAGGTATCGAGACTCATCTTTTTTCTGTTATTGTCGAGTTTGAAGCCACTGATGTTTCACATACAATCAAGTAACTATGCCCTTCTATTGACAGGCTTTCTGTGACATGGAATCAAGTGGTGGTGGATGGACAGTTATTCAGCGACGTGAAGATGGCAGTGTTGATTTTCAGAAGATTTGGAAAGAATATAAACTGGTATGGATATACATTAAAATCATCTGAAAACACATTGTTTTCTTTGTGAAAGACAATTTTCAAAATCTGTAGAACCTTAATCTAACCGATTACTTTTGACAAAATTTTGTTATGAAAGGGTTCTTTGAAGTTGGCGTTTCTGTCATCATCTTAAAGAACTGTCATATCTGCATAATATAAACTACGTATTAAAACAAAGGCATGCAAACATCAAGCAGTTGTTTTTAATGGCAGGTTCAGTAACTGTTGGTGAGGCAATTTATTCCGTAATACTTAATTAACACATCAATAAACTATTCCAACTGATGATTCCTCAGGTTATATATGAATATATATTATTATTCCAATACTATTTTTCTTTTAATAACAGCTTAGTTTCTTAAAACTGACCTTTTAAAATCTACATTCCTTTGTGAAAGAGCCCCAATTTTCATATTAAAATAAAAATTAAAAACTCACTGCCATAGTGTTAATTCCAAACCACAGTGACCCTATTGGACAGGGTGGAGCTGCCGTTGTGAGTTTCTGAGGCTGTAACTCTTTACAGAAGTAGAAAACCTCATCTTTCTCCCATGGGGTGACTTTTAGTTTTGAACAGCTGACCTTGCGATTAGCAACACAATCCATAACCTACTATGCCAGAGCTCCTGTTACTTTTTATATCTGCTGAAAATTTGATAGTTATTCTATCTAAATTGAGAGATTATTGATTTCAAAAATATATTTAAAAACTGATTAAGTAATGGACTCTTACAACTTGCATTACAGGGCTTTGGTAATCCTTCAGGAGAGCACTGGCTAGGAAATGAGTTTGTTTCCCAACTGACTAACCAGCAGCGCTATGTGCTGAAAATACAGCTTAAAGATTGGGAAGGGAATGAGGCATACTCATTGTATGAACATTTCTATCTCTCAAGTGAAGAACTCAATTACAGGTAAGTAAATAACATAACACTGAAAATCATTTACAACACTGACTGGGCCATTGCTCCAGAAAATGAAAACCCCATCATATTAACCAGGATTTAAACTATTCTTACAATACTCTAGATGAAAAACAACAAAAGAAACCTACTAATGTTTGTTATTTCTTTTCTGTGTTCTTACTCTCTAAGTGAAATCTAGTTTTAAAACATAAACTTTTGTTATAATATGAATAATGAAGAAAACTTTGAGGACAAAGGTTGTGTCCCATGCACTGGATTTTTTTATCCTCAAAGCCTGAAAGAACGCTACTGAGTACATCGCAAGCAAGCAAAAGTTTAGAATGAGTGAATGTTAAATTGCCCTATTATCATAGGCCATATAAATATCATAACAGATGCCTACCCATGACCACCTAAGTTTCTTTCCTTTACAACTATATGAGTTGAATTTTTCTTTAACAGTTTAAATAGATTGACTGGGTTCGATTTAGTATCAGGATTAGTTACTAACTGTAAAACTGACGGTATTTGATGGGATGGCCAATTAGTCAACTCCTCTATTACGAATATGTGTGAAATTCCTATCAGTTCTGGGAAGCAATAACCCTGTATGTTCTAAGAATAGCATGGAATGTAGTTTCCAGCTCTACAATTCTAAGAGCAGCAACAAAGAACAGCAAAAGGAATAGAACGACCAGCACAATTCACTACAGAAGACAAATGGACCTAAGCTGAACCCACACTCGTGTATATGCTGTTACATAAAGTACACAGGGCTACTCAGACACTCACATGCAATGGGAGGGGAAAGCTGTTCAGAGAAGATGTGCCAGAATGCCTAAGTCACCAAGACAATTGGGAAGGAATCTACACAGCACACACGGGTAACAACTAGTGATCACAGGTCTTCCCCTTTTATAAATGCCCACAGTGAGGTCAGAAATAAATAAAGTTCAATTAAAAAAAATCCCTGAAAATTGTCATCCTTTGGCCCTAAAATACAATCTCAATCTCTTTAATGATCAACCCAAACTTTCTGCTCAGCAGAAATTTAGATCTAAATAGCTCAGAAGATAAACATTACTGTAAGCTCCAAAAACTGACTTCCTAGCCAGAGGGTCACAGTGACCAACACAGAAAAACTGGCTGAACGTGAAAGTGCTACGGCAGCTGCCTGAAAACTATACCATGTCAGTGGGCCGTACTTTTCAGCAGGTCATGAAGGTGTTCTAATCATTTACACTGAATTGTCATATGATTTTTTTAATCAGTGAAACAAACTATGAATTTTCATTCCAGAATTAGTAGTAGTCTCTTGGAGAGGCAATATCTGAGAGGTGATCAAAGATAGGTGTTTGGCCTCATGGTATTTTCAAAGTCACTTCAAAGAGAATAAAACTTCAATGACTATTAAAAGACAAGTGGTATGTCATTATGTTACCTCCAAGTTAAATATTTTTCCAACTGGCAACAGTTAGGAGTTGACAAAAGTGAAATTAAAACAAGCAAAACAACAAAAAAGAATGACGGATTAGAATGTTTGTGTAAGAAGATTTATAAAATGGGTCATTAAACTTCTGTGCTGACATTATAAAAGTATTTGAAATGGTGATGATTTTTAATGGTTATTTCTTTAATAAACACAATTGATATTTGGATATGCCATTAAAAAAACTGGCTTAAGGCTTAGTTTAACTTAGTTGGCAATATAAGACAGAAGGACAGTCCTAAAATAAGCACCGTTGTGAAGAGGGCGCAGGCCTGGGCAGTGCTTTACGCTGCTGCACACGAGTCGCTGTGCGTTGCAACTCACTCCGTGGCACCTAACATACAACAGAGATCTGACAGCTGAAACGATTTTCCCAATAAAGGTGATATTAAACGTGCTACAATGATGACATGACTAAACTTTTAGTAACTGTTTCAGAATGCCAGCTACATGTAGAAAGTATTATTCTTTAATATATTCCCTGTAGAGAAACTGAAAAACACATGTCAAAAACAGTGGATTAAAGCACCAGTAATTCTTTTCAATAAAACTGGGAACTATCTGTACATTTAAATATTAAAATGAGTCACTTTTCACACAGCAGGCAGCTCTACACCCATTCTGGTAGTTCCTTATCAACAGCAGACTTAATTATGAAATGTTGCTCTTCATTCACTCCGTTACATAAGAGCATTGGATACCAATTTCAAGCCATTTTAAGAATGTAGCTATTGTCAAGCAGATTTTTTTTAAAGCACCCTAAAAATATTGGGCTATCCCTAAAATAAAAGGATCTTAAACCACACAACCTCGCTCGCAGAGACTAATAAGTAGTAGTACGATCCTTTATTCCACTTGCCACTGAATGCATTCCATGAGTTCTCAGAATTGCTCAAAAGGAACAGGGCAGTTAAGAGGAGGAAACATAAAAGAAACAGTTCACCTCAATTCCACCAGTGATTAATGAGAAGAGGTTAGAAAGCAATTAAAGTGCTTACAAATATTAAAGGTGGTCAGAACTTACTGTATTGCTATTTGGCAGCAGGTACTAAGAGACTGGCTAGGGGGTCACTCCTATTTTTGAAACATAATCATGTTCAAAATTCAGTCAAATCATCAGGATGATGTCTAAAGATTATTCTATCTTTAAAGACAAAAATTCTTTCAACCCTAAGTGATTAAATAGCACAAAAGTCACTTAGGATCAAAGCTTATTTGTGGGATTCAATTTGGCACTTGAATTTCCATCTTTTCCCGGTAACTTCCTCCCTAAACAAAGATTTCCTATTAAGGTGTGTATCCAGGTAGAAATAAGAGAGAGGTGGTGTTAAGTCTATTAAAAGTCCTACTCCTATGTCTGAATACCAATGAGTCTACACATAAAAATAAGGATTAGCTCTTAGGACTGTTTTAGGAATTAGGCCTGTGAAAAAGCCTGGCACAGCTTGACTAGGAGATACTTCGAAAGTGATCTTTTTCCTGTTGTTTCAGCCCTCCTTTCCAACACCAGCTCTTAGAAATTAGAGTCCTTCACAGGTAGTGGTTGGCAAAGTTTAGCAGGATTTGCAAAGATTCAAATCATTTGGGGATGTAAAGTGCAATTCTCCTGCCAACACCATAGAGTTTTGTTTTGCAAGATTCATGCCCTCTTTCCATCTGACTTTATCTCTGCGCCCACACAATGCAGACAACCAACGAAGGGTCAACGATCCACCTTCCAGGAGTGACACTCTGCATGTTAACATAATATCATATTGCCTACCTTTACACACCACAGCAGGCGCCCTGGTGTAGTAGTGGGCTATGTGTTGGGTTGATTACCACACGGTCAGCAGTTTGAAACCACCAGCTGCTCCTTGAGAGAAAGATGAGGTTTTCTACTCCAAGTAAAGGTTTACAGTCTTGGACGCCCATAGGGGCAGTTCCATTCTGTCCTATAAAGTCACTATGAGTGGGAATCACCTCAATGGCAGAGCGTTCTTTGAGTTACACACTGTAACATGAATGGCTGCTCTACCCTGTATTGCACCAACCCGGCAGAAAAATCTTTTTTTTTTTTAAAGTTTTAAAACAAAACATACGCTTTCCTTCCCTTACCATATACCCATCTTAACATACAAGTCAACTTCCAGGCAAGCCATGTTTATTTGTTTGCAATATTCTGTGACTATGTGAGATTACCTAGTATCTCACATGATATAAGGTCCCAATGAGTTGGAAACGACTCTTGGAAGTGAGTTTCATTTTGAGTTTGAATATAATATTGTATTTATTGGTTGCTCTGAGTCTAACAGGTTTATAAAGCTACTATATAGAAATAAGACAGGGTTTGTTTTCTATGTGTTCTGAAGCCATCGACACCAAATTCCAAGATCATGTTGCCCATACCCTGCTCCTTCCCTTCTGCCCCCACCCCGAGCCCCAAATAATCATGTTTGAAGTTATCCAGTCATCTTAGGACTCTCATTTTAACAGGTGATGTTGATTGGAGACCTGGGCCAAGCATACCCACGCAGAGGTCATTTGGTGTTACATGTTCTCTGTTTATCTAAAAGCAGCAGGAAAATAAATTATCAGGCTGCACAGTGCCTGTTGATGTTTGTGCGAGTGATATGCATTGACGGTTTTATGAAAACATTCCTCTTTGTCTAAGGATTTGATAAGTTGGTTCCTGTTTATGATAGTGCAAATATTTTGCTCAGGGTATGCATCTGTACACTAACCAGTAGAAAATACAGATCCTATCAATAAGGATTCTTCATTCTAAGGCTTGCTACTACTGCAAATAATAATCCAAACCAATTAAATCTTTGTTCTCTCTCTCCCTCTTTCCCCCCTTTCTTTGCATACTTACAGGATCCACCTTAAAGGACTTACAGGGACAGCCGGCAAAATAAGCAGTATAAGCCAACCAGGAAATGATTTTAGTACGAAGGATGCAGACAATGACAAATGTATCTGCAAATGTTCACAAATGCTAACAGGAGGTAGGGATGACCATTCTCTATTTGTTTTGGCAAGGATGACTTTTACAGAGTAAAACGCTGGCTGTTTGGATTTCGGAATGTATTGGTGGTAATGCTCATAAATAGGCATGCTAGCTGGATGTAGGTAAATCTGTTCTCTCTTTTTTAAAAGACCAATGTTCTTGCATGAATGAAACTCAGAATTATCAGTAGGCCAACTGTCTCTCTCCAGAACCTGGCAAAAAGGAACATCTGATACTCAGCAAGCTCACTTGTACTTGTGTTTGTTGAACATTCACATGGCAGGGAGATGATTTAATTTCATTTTGCTTTAATTAAAAAAAAACCAAAATGACAAAACAAGGATGAGGCTGCCTGCTCACTGCTCACAGACTGACAATCTGCTTCCATAAAGATTTCTATGGGGTCACTGTGAGTTGATAGTGAGTTATGGCTTGGATTATGGAAGCATCTTCAAGGAACAATTTATTGTTCAAAGCAGAAATTCTGTGGTGTCTGATTAGGAAGAGGATGACTTTCTAAAAGATATAAAGCACTACCACCATCAGCACCACTCACTACCACGGAGTTGGTTTTGACCCACAGCAATCCTCCGAGCTGGAGTAGAACACTTCCTAAGATTTTTGAGGCTGTAAATCTTTATGGAAGCAGGCAGCAGCATCTTTCTCCTTCAGGGCTGCTGTTGGGGTTGAACTGTTGATGTGCAATTAGCAGTCCAAAGCACAAAGAATCTAATTAACTAACGTGTGTGTGTGTAGGAGAAAATAATTAAAATGAGCAATTACCTACTTTAAATGAAGGCTTTCCTTTTTAGGCCTCTCTTGCTTTCCACCTATGATGTCAGGCAGGTCTTAAAAACACAAGTGGAAACCATATCAACATGCAAACGAGCTATTGTAAGTTCCTTGAAGTGGTTATATGGATTCCGAAACATTTCAGAGTTCAATGATAAAAACCAATCGATGGAAAACTTACTTGACTGATTTTTGAAAGTTTAGTGAAGTGAACAGTTAGTAGTCACTCAAGAGAAAAGAAAATATCCTGACAAATGCTGTCAAGTGAGTCCTTGAAAATGTTGAGAGATTTAAAATAGCAACAATCATGCTGCCAATAGTGCAAACTGAATACAAAGAAAAACAGTAAATTGGCAGGGTTTAATTTGTAGAAACCATAAATTGTGTTATCAAAAATAATCCAAGAAAGCCACGAGTAAGAGCTGTGGTCAATATGTTTCATGAACAAAAGCCACTGAATAAACAAGTCAGGGAAAATGCTGAAAGAAGTTGGCTCCATTAAAGCATTCCAGCATGCGGGTCATTAAAGAAGATAATTACAATTTGTTAACAGAGGACTTCCCTAGTAGCAATAATTACTTCAATGAGATAAGGTTATCAATATGAGTTTTTTTGCTATTCTATTGATTTTAATGAAGGGTGTTTGTCTTCTTTATCCTTCCATAACAACCTTTTTTGTTTGTTTGCTTGTTTTTAACAACCCTTTTTAAGAGTCAAATAAAAAGAGGGACCTAATATACCAGGTCACCCCACCTCCCTACCCTGTTTGATATTCCCGTACACTGAATGCAGTGGGCTATTTCAGAGGATGGTGGTTTTCAGACCACCCGTGCATTAGAAACTACTCAAGAGAGTATGAGAACTGAAATAATAGCCAAGGGAACACATATTTATTTAGTCAAATCAAGATTTAGGGTCTGAGAATGAATCTGAAAAAGAGACTTGGAAGAAGAAAAGGCAGCCCAAGAGAGAAAATGGGGTCTTTGACTTATAAAAAAAGGTCAAATTCCAACCAATGTTCTGGACCACTAATATAATGCCCTAATGATCAGACAGATTCTTACATAGACAAGAATTCTATAATTAAACCAAACAACTGGCTCCAGAATGGACACACTGATAAATCTGTAACAGAGATTGCTTGAAAATGTTAAAGAATTATGAATAACACACATGGACTACTTATATTAACCTCTCTGTACATTAATCTACAGTTTACATTAATCTTCAGCAATTTAAATTAATGGAGCTGGTACCATTAAAAAATTTTAGGAATAAATGAAAACATCACAGATGTACGTTAAAAAAGGTTTTGGTTTTTTTTAAAGCAAATATATATATATATACGCACACACACATATATTAAAGCTGTCAAACTAATATTATTCCTTTCTCTGAAGTAACTGAACTGAGTTTCATTGATATTCTTGCTTCTTTTACTATGTATGTAGATATCTATCCATACAGTCTACTTTCAAAACTTAAACAAATATTATTATTCTCTATGCTTTTCCTTCAATGTAAAACTTTTGAGATGTAGCGACATAAATATTGTACTTAGGTCGTTCTTTCCTTTCCTAACCCCAAGGCGTCTAGCCTCCTTCTGTTTTTAAGGCTAATGTCTCAAGCCTCATCAACAAGGTGTCTATCAGGATGGACTCCTTCAGCCTGCAGTGCTGTGTGCCTCTAGCCCCTACTCCCCACCTCCAGGCTTCAGCTCTACACTCTAGCTTTCAATTATCTTGTCCTCCTAGAACTTAGGGACTTCAGTTTTTATCTTACCCCACCGCATACTTGAAATTGTGGATTTTATTTTATTTTTAGTAGAGAGAAGGGAAGGGTGAATTAGCCCAGTCTGCCATGTTACTGAAGCCAGAACTTAATCCAGAGCCATAAGACAGCCAAACAATTACTTGTTTTCACTCATTCATATAGTAATATCATGCAATATGCCTACTAAATCTTAAGGAGATGGAGCTTTACACATAGTACAAGTGATAAAGTGTAAGAAAAGGTTGTAAAAAACATTTGCCACACAATGGAATTATTACCTAATCTGTATGAAAACAGAAAGGTGTTTGGTCAAAGCTCATTGGTCAATGCAACATATTACATATTCATAAATACTTACATATGCTTATTTTAAATGCACACATGGAACTGAAAGGTTAGCTGGGCATTCCTAGCTTCATGGAAAAATCCCTGGGTGGCACAAATCACTGAGCTCTCGAACACTAGTCAAAGGAGGGCAGCTGGAACCAGCTCAGGAGCCTCAGAAGGAGCAGACCCAAAAGCCTGCTTTTGAAAGGACCCAGCCTTGCAAACTCTATGCAGCATTTCCATTCTGCACATGTAGGGTCTCCCGAATCAACCCAACAGCAGCTAACAACAAATGGGAACTGGTTAGTATTACCTAGCACCTCATTCCTTTTTTTTTAACCTTCACAGGCTGGTGGTTTGATGCATGTGGTCCTTCCAACTTGAACGGAATGTACTATCCACAAAAGCAGAACACAAATAAATTCAATGGTATTAAGTGGTACTACTGGAAAGGATCAGGCTACTCGCTCAAGGGTACAACCATGATGATCCGACCGGCAGATTTCTAAATGCTCATGCCCATCGAATGCTTGGTGCATTGTACTGTTTTCAAAGACTTATCCCAAAGCACTGAGAGACTCAACCAAAGGCTTTCTCCTTTTTCCACCTCACACCACCTGCTTTTGGGGGCTGAAGGAACCAAGAGCTCCAAATGGGATGCAGGAATCTCCCTCACTCAAACCAGCACCACTGAACATATCAAAGCACAACCCAAACAAAGAGGCCTGCCTGCTATCTGGATTTGGTCAAACTCCTGTGTGGAAAGTAAATTTAAGGTTGAGAATCAGACTGCCAATCGACACATCCTGTTATTGCAACCAAGAAACATGTGAGTTTATCAGTAAATAACTGGAAAACAGAACACTTATGTAATATAGTACAGGTCATCTTGGAAATGCATTCTTCTAAGCACTGTTTATAGATTGTGTAAATACACACACACGTCCTGAATTCAGTACTAAATTCTCATAACTAAAATGGAGAAGAAAATATGTAAAATTCTGTAAGCAATAAAAATGTATACAGTATTCAGAGATAGTCAAAGAAATAGTGGTTAGCATTGTAACATTTGGGGAAGGAAAAACATAGTTATTGCATTTCAATTCGTATTAGGTGCTTGAAACTTTTATGTTGAAAAATCGTATAGCTACATATGTGTTGACAACTGAAGGAGTTTATATGGTAAAAACTTCCAGGGCCCTACACTAACCAATAGAAATCTGTGTCAGTCTAGTTTATATGAAGATTGTACTATTTTTTTTCTACCTGGTTGTTAAATATAATGGTATTTTTAGTAATTAAATATAACTTATTAGGTGAAGTGACTGTTTTCAACTTACTTGATAATACTTACAATTCTGTAACTTGGTTCTGAAACAACCAATGAATTGTGCCTCATGACAAAGATATATCTGATCTTCAATTATGAAGAATATTATATGATGACACTTTACTATCTTCTATTATTATTCCAAGTCAGAGGTAATTTTTTTCTCTACTGGTAAGATGTATTTTAGAGAACTAAGCTATATTTAGTTCTCTCAAAAATCTATTTAAAACAAGTACAAAGCTATATTTCAAGCTAGATTCACCTCTAATGTTATTAAAAGAAAAACAATTTGCACTATTATGATTACTTTTTATATTCATTAACAAAATAAAAAATGTTTTAGAATGAAGAAAAAAATCGCAATATCTATGGCATATTCTAATGTTTACAGAAGATTTTGAGAATATAGTTTTAAGCTCGGGACCTAAAACCCAAACACCCAAAGTTTTAACTCCTTTTGAAGTACTCAGAGTTTTAAAAGAACATCATTCTTGTGTAATGCTTATAATGTAGAAGCAAATTCCACTTATTTGTTTTGAGTTAGCTGATAGCAAACTTTGAGCTCAATTTGCAACCAAAATGAGGATAAGCAAAAACATATTGCACCTACATTACTGGGTATATTCCAAACAAAACATGTTGTACAATGTCTCTGTGCTCCGTGGATAGCGCCAGCAAGACCTCTCAGTAATATAATTGTCTTAGTCTCCTTCACTCAAACACTCACTGCCATCGAGTCAACTGCGATTCATAGCGACCTTATAGGACAGAGTTGAACTCCCTCTATGGGTTGCTGAGACTGTCACTCTGTCTGATAGCTAAAAGCCTCATCTTTTCCCCTTGGAGCTGCTGGTGGTTGCAAACTGTTGACCTTGCAGTCAGCACCCTAACTCATAACTCATTATGCCACCAGGGCAGGGAGACTTTAAAAAAAAAAGCCCAATCAATCAGTGGCTGCTGAGGGAATTTGCTGAGACAGTTAAATCAAGGCAGAGTGATTAGCTCAGAAGGTTGTGGTGATGGTTTGGGATCTCAAGGGGGCACTCTTAATAGATTTTCTCAAATGAAAATGGGCGATTATGAAGTTATAAGAAAATGACAATGGCATTGGTAAGATAAAGGCTGGGGAAGTTACTACACAGAGGCAGTATTTTCTACCACAACAATGCACCTGCTCATTCTTCAAAGGGAGCAAGGACTATCCTATGAGAATTGCACTTGGAAACCTGACCCCAGCTACCCTACTGCCCTGATCTTGTCTGTCCCTTCAGACCTTTTATTCCCAAAACTCAAGGATTATTTAAGTGAAATCTGATTTCGGTCTCTTGAAGAAGACAACATTGCCATGTTTACATAGTGTAAGCAGAAGAACACAGAATTCATCATGGAGGGGTTAGAGAAATACTGCCTTCAGAAATGATGGAAGATACCAAGTAAAAGAGTTTCACATTTTGATATTTTTGTTTAATAAAGATTTCCATGATTTTGTAGCACTACTTTCTTACTTACTCTTGTATTTATCTCGTAGCTCTTCTTTTACTTTTCTGCCATTTTTTCCTCACTCTGCTTAGCTGATCGATCCAATGTATTTCATCCCTATGTTCCCCCATCAGTCTTAGTTTTAGAACTTACATGCTGCTACACGTGTCCAGTCAATGGGTGAACTACTCAAGGCACTTTGTTTTCCCCACTGTGTTGCTCCTTCCTAACAAATATTGAGCAAATACACTTCTCATCCTAGAAATTATATTTAAGGAGATTTCAGAAATTTGACACAGGCATCACAGCTTTGTATCAAGTGGAAAAAACGAACAAACACCTGCTGACATGAAAATATCACAGTTTCAAATGCGAGTGCTAAGTTTCTATAAACTCTAGAGCCATAATGGCAGGCATTTAAAGAGAAATGATAGTCACAGGTAAAATAGCCAACATTTTACTTCATATATGTACATGGACACTTAGGTTGTGGATCTATATATTTAACTTTATATGTGTACATGGACACAGGGTGTGCGTATATAGATAATTTATTATTTATATATTACTTATTAATATACACATAATGATAAAGGTTTCTACAATTCTGTAGCACTATTTTCTGACTTACCCACTTAGGCAATATACAAAGGGTATCCTGAACAAACCGGAATTGCACTGGGCAGAGCTTTGCTAGTATGGATTTTTCCTGTTAAGTGAGCATCCAGCGACTTGCTCTGAGTTAGTACACCCAGTGGCATTGCCTGGGAAGGTTCTCTCTGGTCACAGTGAATTTCTTTATAAAAGCAGTTTCACTTGAACCTCCTTTTTTGTGATGGCTGATTTAAGAGGACAGCATGCGGCTATAAAATTTTGATTCCTGTTTGGGGAAAAATGGTGCAAAAACTGTTGTGATGTTTTGAACACAGCTTACAAGGACAGCACTATGGGAAAAACTTAAATGTACGAGTGATTTTCTCATTTCAAAAAAGATTAAATGTTACTGATGACAAACCTCATTCTGGAAGTCCATCAACTTCCCGAATGGACAAAAATGTTGACTAGTATTGCATTTGGAGTTCGTACCACCAGGTCAAATTGCGAACCAAGTTTTCTGTTTAGTAGTTCAGGAAAGATAGCATAACTGTGTGTAACAAAAGAAGGCCTAATTTGTGGCAGATGGGGGACTGATTTTGCCACAACAATGCACCTCGCCTGTTAACGCAGCCATCTCAGTGCACCCGTTTTTGGCAAAAAAGAGCATGCCTCTCTTGCCCCACGCACCTTAATCACCTGACCTCTCTCCATGTGACTTCTTTTTGTTTCCATGAATGAAGAGAGACATAAAAGGGCAATGATGTGAGGATATAGAAGAGATAGAGAAAATAACGAGGGAGGTGCAGTCAGCCATCCAAACAGATGAGTTTGAAAAATGTTTCCAAAAATGGAATTGCAGATTTGACAAATGTATGAAGTGTAATTGGGAGTACTTTGAAGGTGATAAAGTAAAACAATTTAAACTCACAGCTTTGAAAAAAAATCCAGGTTTGGGGGGATATATATATCTCCAAAGTGTCCATGTAAGTAAGCAAACTTAATTTCCAAGCCAAGTTTCGTCATTAAGTTACTCAGAGGGATATATAGAGTGTACTTGTCATGATATATAGAGCGTACTTGTATAGCTCTGTTCCATGAAGTCCCTGTGAACTGTCAGTTAGTGCATACTGAAGCAGCCTTGTCGGACCTCGGCTGGCAAGTTCACTGCTCTGTGCATACACAGGTGCGAGTGCCGAAAGGGCCACGAGTACTTTAAGTGAACAGACGAATGACGTCTGAGAGTAACGAGATGGGCTGTAAACTTCAGGACACAGAAAGAGGAAAACTTATATTTTCCTTTTCTCTTTCCTGACACAGTATGTCTTATAGAGAGGGAATGTTACTCTCATTAGGAAAGTATTTGTAAAATTGAAAGAAATAAAAACAGAAACTTTGAACACAAAATGAAAATAGCCTTAAGTACAGTGAATCGAGAGCAGGGTTTGGTTTCTTGCTATGTTTAGGCGTGCTGTCTGCTCCAACAACTGACAGCAATCAGGAAGAACACTTGCAGGTGAAACTCAACATTTACCTTTTAGATCATATCCTTTGAAAGAAGAAACTTCCAGAAACAGTTAATTTTTCCGAAAATCAAAGCAACTTCCACATACCCTGCTTCCACCCAAATCTTAAATTACTTAATTTCTTATAAAACTTATTAAACATATATAATCTTGAAAAGTCTGAAACTGATGTTGAGTTTAGGTAAAATATCAGAACATAAATATCATATAAAACTGGGGGGAAACCCCCAAAAACGAACACAACAAATAACGCATTGCCATTGATCATGTCCAACTCATAGCTGGTCACCATTGTCTTATACCTGTTCAATCTCTATGAAGAGTAAAAGCACTTTTCTGAAGAAAGGGCAGAATATAATAGCACTTCCTCAATCGTTTCATCTTTTCTTCATTCTTGTTTTTGTTAATGTTGAGGATGCTTATAATTAAAATTTTAAAACGAGACTCCATTCTTGTTATTTGTACAATGTTCTGATATTCTCCCTTCTGTTCCACAAATACATAAATATTGTTAAGTTATGTAATCATGAGGCTTTAATTATGGGAGTCTTGACTCTTAATAAAACCTTTCTACCATGCACACATTTAAAATAATTTCCCGATAATAACAAACGGTTTTATAGCCATAACATAGTGTCTGACTCACAGGTGCTGCAGGGAAGTATTGAGAAAGCTCAAACGGCTCCTCGGATATCCAATGGCCCCTTTCCAAAGACCACAGCACCTGCAAATGAGGCAAAATGCATACTTGTTATGGATTGCTGAGCTTTCAGTAGGTAATAAACCAAGAGCTACTTTGACAATATATATTCATATCCAACAAATAAACTCGCCAAACAGACAGCTTAGTTTTGCTTCTCATGGTAACAAATACACATTAGCAGCCAAATATTCCAGCATTTTAAAATCTGGACATCTGGCCATGTCGTTTGATGTTCTTGAACATCAAAATGCCTACAGAATCTTCATGTAGGATAAATGTTAAGATTATTAAACTTTAAAAAAGTCTCCTGGTTACTAAAAAATGAGTTATTATCTTAGTGATGCCACAAACTTAAACATTAACCCCTTTCGAGAAAGATATATACTATATATATATATTTAATTATAAGGTCCCATTTATTTTATGGAGTCTCTTACAGACATTCCCCAGTTAAAAATGTAGGATTTACAAATAAATAAAATAAAAAAAGAGGAAAAGTCTGACCACAAACTTAATTAGAAAGCAAACCTTCCAGCTTGTGATTCTATTTCTAGTACTGGCCAGTATACTTATCAGAAGTTTACTATCAAACCCCACCAAGTGCTGTCAACTCAATTTTGACTCACAGTGATTCTACAGTATGGAGTAGAAATGCCAGCCTGGGTTTCCAAGGCTATAAATCTATACAGAAACAAGATGCCACATCTTTCTTCCCATGGGTTGGCTAGCAGCCTCAAACCATCAACCTTTCGAATAGTACTTGGGCACTTTAACCATGTGCCAACAGGTTCTTTTCACTGTAATACATGTGAATGTTTACTTAATGGTTTATTAAAGAGTAAATGCTTTCCAGACCCTGGAAGAATAAAATAGCACATAAATAAGCTTTTAAAGCTATTATCATATTAATCCATGATTTAAAATGATTAATGTTTTCACTTTTTAATTTAACAATGAGATTTGAGATTCTGTAGTCATCTCCAATCTATTGCCAAATTTCCCCAAATCTACATTACTATGTACTCTTGAAAGTTTTACTGACAATAGCAAACTGAAATACATAACTCTGATTTATTTTTTATCAACAAAATTAACTTTAATTTTTCTACCGTTGCTAAATAAATATAAAGCACTTTTTGGCTAAATTATGAAGAAAAGGGTTTAGTTATTACTCTTTTGTAAATTTTATGGAACCAAATCAACTGAGATATTTGTCTTAAAGATTTCCTTCTCGCTAGAAAAAAGCTAGTACTTTTCCAACATGAAACAGTAAAGGGTACATGACAGTAGAACAAATAAAAACAAAATCAGCTTATAAAATCTGAATTATATCTCTTTGCTTTGGCCTAGTTTTTATTTTAAATAGATGCACTTATTTATTCAATAACTTTTGCTGTTCCTATGTGAAAATTTTATTGAAGGTCAACCTGAATAAACCACCACCCTTTATCTAGAGAAGCTCATCCTCTCGTGGGAGTGGAAGACATAAAGGTACACCAGAAATTAGCGGAAGCAAACTTATCCAATCCTGAAGAATAAGATTCCATAGAGGAGTTAAAATTTTACACGTCATCTAAGTAATGAATAAAAGTTCACCAGACAAGATATAAGACATTGGGAAGGAAGGAGAATATTGCACCAGAGAGATATTATTATGTGCAAAGATTGAACATTATAAGTAGGGTTTGTTTTGTTTTTCTTTTTGGCTATAGTGTCTGAGAGAAGTGACTTGTAAGAAGTAGTACAGAAATAAAGTAGGTTGAACCCACATGGTAGAAGGAATTCTCTAAAATATATCTGGTTCTTTTGTATCTCTGCAATGTAATTATGAAGAATTTTACAGGCAAAATATTGAATTACACAAGAAGTATAACAAGAAAAAGAGATATAAGGAATACAGAGGTTCACTGTACCAAAAAACAATTGACTGATGCTCAATAATCTCAGGAAATCGTATGATCAAGACCAATGGTATTGAAGGGATAAGGCCCAACTGGACTGAAGGCATTGGCCCAAAATGTGGCTTTAGGAATTGAAGAGCTACTAATCAAAAGGGATGTGCCCACTTCTCTACAGCCAGGGACTTCAAATGCAGCTACATAGCCAATGCTCTGTAAGCGATCAGTATTTGTGCCCATTCTGGAGAAAGGTGACTTGACAGAACTTGGAAGTTACCGAACAATAGCATTAGCATTGCGCAGAAGCAAAATTGTGCTAAAGATAATTAAAAATCGATTGCAGCAGTGGATAGGGAGCTGCCAAAGCCTCAAGCTGGATGCAGAAGAGGACACAGAATACAAGATATCGTTGCTGACATCTGATGAATCTTGGCTAAAAACAAAGAATATAAGATACTTTCATGTGTTTTCTTGACTATGCAAAGGGATTCAACTGTGTGGATCATAAACTATGGATAAGAGTGTGAATGGGAATTTCAGAACTCTTAAATGGTGCTAACATGGAACCTATATACAGACCAAGGAGATACTGAGGGGTTTAAGATCAGAAAGGTTTGTTTAGGGTAATATCAATTCACTTGTTGTATTCAATCTACACACTGACAAATAATCCAAGAAGCTGGACTATATGGAAATAAAAATATCAGGACTGAGGGAAGACTTGTTAACATCCTACACAATATAGTGACAAAAATGTGTTTACCGAAAGCAAAGAGGATTTGAAGCACTTATTGATAAAGATCAACTATTAGTCTTCAATATGGATTACATCTCAATATAGAAAAAACAAAAACCTTCACACCTGAACCAGTAAGCAATAGCATGAAAAATGGAGAATAACATTGCCAACGAGGCTCCACCACGAACACTCATGGGAAGAGTACTCAGGACATCAATGGTGAACTTTGCTGAGCAGATAAGCTGCAAAGCTCCTAAGTGTTAAAATAGCAAAGGTGTTTTTTTTGAAGATTAAGGTGTGCCTGACCTACATATGATGTTTTCAATTGCTTCATATGCATGTGAAAGCTGGACGATAAAGAAAAAGGGGTGCCTTTGGAATACGATGTTGTGCAATAGCCCCCCCACTCAGGATTTTTTAAAATCGTTTTATTAGGGGCTTATACAACTCTTATAACAATCCATACATACATCAATTGTGAAAAGCACATTTGCACATTCATTGTCC